GGATAATAAAGCCGGGGTTAGGGTGCTTGTAACGATTGAGTTAGATCAGGAGAAGAACAGTAAACACAACTTTTAATCATCGTTTTATGCTATTATCTTAATATTTTTGAACAAAAATTAGACATGAAAATGCACTATTTGCTTCATGATTTGTGTTTTACAACTAAAAACTTAGAGCTATTATAGGAAACAAAATCTTGCAGCAAAATACACAGCACAGTATCTCCAAATTAATTCCCACCGCAAAAGGATGATTGGTGTTTATCAGGGATATAACTGTCCAATGACAGCAGAACTAACTTTGGATTTTCTAAAAAGCTAATATTTTAAATTTCTGTCTTCCTCTTGTTCTCCTCCAGGAAGTCTAAGTTCCATGCTGGGTAAGACCTGACCTATTTCCTTCACCACTTTAGAATTCAAACCTGACAGAGGTGTGTCACGCAGAGGTACTCTGAATGAATGACGTGTTGATAGGACTGGAGAAAAAAAACTGCATTAAATCAAAAGTGTTTTAATGGTTTACTGCCAAAACTATAAACTGAAGGGCTGAAGTGTGAGTTAATATTTAAGCATCCCTAAAATAATCCCATTAGTTATCCTGGCAGGATGCAGCGATGTGACTGATGTTCACCACACGTAATCTCAAAAGCTCTTAGCTTTCTTTCTCTTCACAGTGATTTTTGTGTGGTCCCCTATCAGGTGTATAATATTGCCCTTGAAATTGCAATTTAAAAAGCTTCCGTCTCTAGGAACCATGATGAACCCAAATGAATGCTTCCATTACCTAAAATTAACCAAATCCTTTTCAAAGTCCTTCAGAGCTTGTTGTTAGGGGAACAGTGGAAATCTGCTCTGTCACATAATGGAAAGAATATAGTACACTGCCTAGTGAAAGACTGAACCTGCAGTGATGACCTGAGAGGGACAGATTATTAAGGAAAAATAAAGTTCCATTAAGTAATCGTGTCTTCAAAGATGGTAAGCATCTCTAGAGCCAAAGCACCAATATTTCCCAGGAGCAGTGCTAATGAACTCACGACAAATTAATACACGACATTCTAGGAAGCTCAGCCTACAGATGGTAGCTAAAAAAGAAGGCTACAATGAAAATCATCTCCCGAAAAATTGCCTATGAAATTCCTTCAGTATATAAAGCCTAGGTCGTGGTAGATATAGGAGTCAGTCAGATTGCAAAGTCTGAGGGCAGAGTCTATAAGGCTATCTTCACTTCTGATATCTGCAAGTTCAAGGGTTTTCTCAAACCACCATCAAGCTTTGGTCATTTGCTAAAAGGACTCACAGAAACCACTAAAAGCTACTGAGCTCACAGGGCTTATTATTAGAAATAAAACTGAGAATCAACCAAAGGAATACACACACACACAACACACAGGACAGAGTCTGGGAAGGTCCCAATACAGTGGCCATTGTCCTCAGGGCGTTTCCCACACTCCTCCTCCACACCCCCGCATCAATTTGTGATGCCAGAGTATATGCACAGAGTGTGATCAGCCTGAGAAGCTCACCTCAACTTCAGTGTCCAGGGTTTTACTAGAACCCCATTACATATACTTTATTACCCCAGAGGCTGGACTCATGTCACCTGGCCCAAGGGGACCACCACTAGCAGTTAGACACTTCAATCACTTGGGAAATGCCAAGGTTTTAGTGGTTACCTCCTATGATCTGGGTATACAGACTGGACTCCTTTCTAGAAAAGGTCAAATTCTTTATTAAATAATATCTCCTAAAGAAAAGATAATGATACAGTTGAGATTCTGCTGAAAGCTAAGCCTACCCCACAGGCCCACACTGTCTTGGAAACAGTGACATTTCTATTTGTTTTCCACGTCACATCTCATTCTGCAGCCGGCTACTTAAGGCTGAATGATGTGGCATTTGGGAGGGTTTCAGAAGAGATTCCCTCTCCCTGAAAACCAGACTTACCTCTACCGAATTCAGCTTCCAGCAACATTCCCGGCTGCTAAACTCTATTTCTTGCTCTCCTCTGCCCCTTCCATGCACACCGAGGAGCTGCATTGTGTCTCCACACCCACGCCCTACTCTAAGTTTAGGTCCTAATGACCAGTTCTTAGAAAGTGTATTTGAGGAGAGGTCTTTAAAGAGTCAACTAAATTAAAATGACGTGATGAATTTCTGAGTCCTAAGTCAAGGTGACCCGAGTCCTTATAAAAGGACATTGAGACAGATACAAAGGGAGGAGCCAGCGGAGACCCTAGGAGAGACGATCACCTACGGGGCATGGAGGTCTCAGAGGAAAGCATGTCTGCTGACCCCTGGGTCTTATGGTGAGAAAATAAATATTTAAGTCACTCACTCTGGGTGCTTTGTTATTTTTTAAGATTTATTTATGTATGCATACATAAATGGGATATAGCCAGAGATGCAGGGGTGGCGAGAGGATTCACCAGAGGCAGAGTGGGGAGCAGAACAGGCAGATCGACGAAGTACACTGCTGAGGGGAGCAGCGGGCAGGTCAGGAGAGGTCTGCCGCACCATGTGGGTCACCTCCAGGGTGGGGCTCGAACTTGCAATGAAACCGCCAGGGCTCAGCTAAGCTTCACAGTGCAGCGCTCCAGCCCACTGTGCCACCAGGAAGGGCCCACTCTGGGTACTTTGTGATGGAAACCCTTCACACACAAATACGTCAATCAATCACTAATTCACATCTAATCTTTCATCCGTCTCTTTTCCTTTTTCCTTTTGCACTGTGAGATACCATCCATCCGCCTGGTCTTTCTGTTTTTTTCAGCATGGCCTTGCATCCAGATGGAGTCATGTTCCTAACGTACACAGAACTCAGGGCACTCCACAGAATCAGTGCAGTCAACTGCACAAATACCTTCCAGCAAATACCTTCCAGTGACTTCTGGCTAAGCTCAGACTACACTTCCTCCCCTGGCAGTGAATAGCCTACTGAACTTTATACATTTATTCTGTGCTAATCTCTATGAATCAGACCCTTGAGATTAACTCATCATCCACCAATTAGAGGGCATCACGGCCTTCGGGATCTATTCTCTTTCCATTATTCAATACTCGTCTTCAAGCCCCGGCTCAAATGTGTTTGCTTTTGTGATGAACTGCTCTCCTCTGATTTACCTTAATTATTTGTCTTGCATATGGCGGCTACCACCCAGAATGAAGAAATACCAAAAGCAGCAAGTCAAAAGTCCACATACTAAAGAGAAGTCCTCATACTAGAGACAAGAAGGTTACAAAGTGTGACATCATCATTAGAGAGAAAGAAAGAAAAAGCTTAAACATCCATACTCACACACCTTTTAAAATCAAGTCCACATAATTCTATACCTAAATTTTTTAAAACAGCACAGTTAGCCTTCGAGGGTAAGATGTGTGGCCCCTTCTTAGAGGGTCTCTCCCTGCTGCGCCTAAGACATAGTCCATTAAGAAATCTTGAGGGGTTTTGTCTGTTTAAAAAACACCTCAAAGGGTGTTTATAAAAACATCTTTAGGGGGGAAACATTAAAATAACATTAATATCCACTACCACACAAATTGTACCATAGCAGAAAGTAATAACTCTATCTTAGAGTTTAATCATTTTATCCAATGTTTATAAACATGTGCCAGGAAGGAGGCCAGAGCCAGAAGCAATCCTTCAACTCACTCTGTAATAACACTTGCTTTGGTTTTACTAATTTGCCCATGTGCCACTAACGGGCCACACAATAGAGCTCTTTATACGCTCAGGAAAACTCTGAATGACGTCTTCTTACCTCATATGAGAAGTGGCAGCCAAGGGCAGCTGCCAGGCTATGGATCGTGGGTACTTTGATCCATCAGTGAGAGAACATTCATGTAAACATTCCAAGGATTAATAGAGGTAATAGAGTAATTGAATATTGCTAGCAAAATCAAGGGCAGAGGAAAGCCTCAGATTGAGATGGTTTCAAGGTATGTGTGAAGCAAAGAAAACAGATTAACCATGAAAAAGGCAGATGCCCAAATGTGGACATGACTGTCATTTTATTAGACAAAAGTGAACGGCTTCTGTGTTCCTATGAATCAAGGTAGCGATCTGACAGCAGCTACATCAGAGACAACCTACCTTATGTACTTTTCACCTACGAGTTCCTCTGGTTTCAATTTCCCCTTGATTCATAAAACAGATTGAGTCACCACAAGCTTTCCGCAAATGCCCTTTCTTTGCATTGGATTCCAGTAGAGACGATCACCTGCCTCTATCTACCCCTAAATACCTGCAAGTATTCAGAGCACTTCATTCACCAACTGTGGTCTGTTCAATAAGTGATACAACTGCACTTTCAACTTGTCATGCATCTTGTTATGAAGAGTAAATAACCAGACTATTAGAGGTAGTAAATACATACAATTAGGTGTAGACCCTGTAAAATTCCCACCACCATGTCACCCGCACACCATCACCATGGTCCCTTGTGCTCGTCCCTCTCCAGTTTTGATCCCTCTCTTCGCCCCTCCCCTGCAGAATGCCTCTGAGTTATAGTTGCCTATCAATTTTGCTTTTTAATTTATTATAAGTACTATTTTTTCCTGACATTTTATTTGGTTCCCCTACATTCCTCCTATCAGTGAAACTGTCCAATATAATTAATGGTGGGAATTTTATAGGGACTATGCCTGAGAGGAGAAATAATACACTGCGCAATAAGGAAGAATGAGGTAAAACATATAAGATACATATACTCTAAATAAAATTTATAAATGTATCGATAACACCTCATGATATACGCTTAATAAGTATTTTCATTACAATGAAGAAAAATTTCCTCCCAGTCCTGGCTTGTCTTAATCTTTAAACAGTACCCCTTGCCCAGAGAAGTCAATTTCTCTACCATGGAGTATGGTTTGGTGTTCTGGCTAAAAAGAATCACCAAACCCACCATCACCTCTATTTTTTTCTAATAGTTGAGCATTTTCTATTTGTATCTATTAAATTTAAATTTTTGTGAAAGGCGAAAAACGAAGAAACTTACTTGAACTTTGCTTCCACCTCTTCAGCAGCTTTCTGGTATTGCTCAGTGGTGACTTTGTAGAACTCGGAGCTCTGTGGACAGAGATTGGTAAAGAGTTTTTACAACGAGGACAAAATGTATGAAAGACTTGTTTAAAAAAACACATAAAATCTCATTTCAACCTCTCAAGCAGGAGAAAGGTTTCTTGTATAAGCCCCATGAATACTTATATGAGCACATGTAAATGGGTTTCCATTTAAATGACCATACAAATGTTGATACACCAATTATAATTATAGAGTAACCTTTCATGGTGATAGTCCATTACTGATCCTTTAGAGAAAATCACTAATATTTTTGAAAGATTATTTAGATCTCCTTTATTTAGAATCTACCACAGCAAGCTCAATGAGATGGAATCATAACATTCACACACATATCACAGTTGCCTATTATTCCAGTGTTCCATGAAGGATTTTTGAGGATCATTTCCTTCTATAGAATATTTTTGTCAAGATAAATTCTTAGGGAGTGGTCTGTGTTCTCTCAATTCCACACAACCTCAAGAGCATCAACATTTATGATAAATGAGCCACTAAAAACAAGAGAACAGAGGTAGGTAATTTTTATACCAAAATACATTCACTATCACCTGCATGGACTCACCGCACCATAGATCTTGTGGCAATAGCAGAGCAGAGCCTATCCTGGGGCAGCACAACTAAAAATCACCCATTCCAGCTTGTGACTTAGAAATCTGTCTTACTGCAGAGAAGGTGGCCTGAATGACCCACAAGCCTACACTCAATGAAATAATCCTGTAAAATGCAACATGCACAAAAGGAGACAGAGCAATCCAGGAGTCTGCGGTGCCCTTTCACACCCTAATCACTAGGGTTTTCACATGCATGACTCGGGGTGTTTTATTTTTTCATAAATCATCGTTGGTTGGTTGGTGAGAAAATGAAAATGAAACCCTCCTCACACTAGTGACCCCTTCGTATTGAACAATCTGGGTTGCTCATGACAGTCACATCCAGGTTTTGGGCTGTAGATAAAATCAATAGGTATGTGATTAGACAGCCGACTTGAGGTGGCTGGAGCCATGGACAGGTCACCATTTGAGATGATGAATAGCTCTCTATCAACCTCGAGTCCCCTACGATGCTAACATTTACTATGATCTTATTTGGGCTGCGATTTATCTTTCTTGCACCTGATCAATAAAGATGAACAGAACAGTTGTTAGGATCGATTGTAATTTTTTATCATTTTCAAGAACAAAGGTGTACTTCTGACATGAAGACAATATGCTAAGTATACAGCTTCTGCATTTTTTTTAAAATTGCAATATGAGTGATCAACCACCCCAGTCTATACACCAAAAGGTTTGAATTCATTGCTGGTGTGGGTCTCAAGTGATCAAGAAGCCATTTGTCTTGAGGTATTTTCACTTTCAGTTGTGTTTTATCTTCTTATCAGTTTCACTTAAAAGACTTTTCTTTCAAAAATGCACTGGTCAGGACATGTTCTTTGCAATGTCTGGTTTAAGTTTTTTTTTAACCTGTAACAGTGGAATCTACAAAGGGGAGGGTCCATGTTTCCTGACCCCCCCCAATGAAGGGTGGAGATGGGGTGAGACACACTAAATTCTCACATAACCTGATGGATGAAGCAAAAAGAACAGGAGGAGAGACTTGTCCTTGACCCAACAAGGTGGTCTTTTGATGGAGAACCACTGCTTTATAAGTGCATGTTGCTTCGGAACCCATAAGGTCCTTCATAGGAGGGATGACTTACATATCTTCACTTCTGTTCTTTCTCTAGCTCTCTATTCATATTCACACTGAGAGCTTCCTCCAACAGCAGAAAAAAAAAAAACAAAAATCCTGACATGATGTGTCCAGTGGCAACACAGATTTGTGGCAGATAATATAATTTAAGTCCAATATTAAAGACCCAATTTATTAATATTTTCCTCTGCAACAAATCTTTATTTGCTTTAACCTTAAGTACTTGTTTTTCACCAAGATTTTCTTTGAGAAGTAGATCTGATAAATCCAAAGTAAAATGATATTATCTTTTAGATGTTTTAGTGTTATCCAAAGTCTCATAAAGTCTTGTCTGTCTCTGTCAAAGATTAGTGGAACAGGAGTTCCTGGGAGGTGAACTATTCAAACAACAACATAATTATCCAGACGTGGGAGCATTTCTGTCGCCTGTTCTAGAGGACAAACCATCAGTGGAAACAACAGGCATTTTCATTCTCTCTGTTACAACATCTTCTAACCTAAGGCACTAGGGACCAATTTCTAAATATGGAGGCAATAAACCAAGTTGGGCAGCTCCACAGTACACTATTTTTAATGTTCTACTAATCACGTGAGTGTCGTCTACAGTACTCTGCACTCAGGTGAAAGAGGCTCAGCACAACGTGGGATGGTTAAAGAACATGAATTTGGGAGCCAGGCAGCTCAATATGGATGCCCTTCCCCCTACCTTGTGGAATAGAGCACACTACTTCACCTGAAGTTATCTGACACCTGTAAAATGGGGTGACCATAATGAGCTAGTGGGCTTCATTGGCGATTAATGTGTGAATTCACATAAAGCTCTTTGAATATACCTAGAACTATAATAAACTTTATAGGAATGCTACCTATTATTAAAAAATTACTTAATAATTAGAAAAAGCACATAGTACTTTTTTATTCTAAATTTGCTAATTCTTTTTCAGAAGCCATTTTCATAAAAATCTAAGTATTTAAAAAAACAAGTCTTTCTTTATAATAAAACAAACACTGCATTTTGCTTCTACAGGTTATCTGTTCTATTTTTCCACGTCCTTTACGATAATGGTGAAAACAATAAACAGAAAAACCAACATCAAGAACAAGAACAACAAAAACCCAAGATAATGGGAGATGTGAAGGTAATGGCTGAGCAGTGCTGGGGTATTGGTGGTTCTGAACTACAGATCCAGTTGCACTAAGGCCACATAAAAATCAAACCCACAGTTTCTAACCTTACCATCAGTGAAATGTCTTAACTAAATTAAGCAGCAAAAACACCTTTAGGCCAGGACTTTCCAGGACCCTAACTCTGACTCTACTCTGTGAATCTTCCAGATGAGAAAGGTGTTCATGATAACTCTCAAACTGATGTGCTTACATGAGCTTTTAATGATGGAACATGCTGAGGAAATGGAATCCCTGGAAACGGTCTGTGAGAAATGCTGCATGAAAGAAAAGTCCCAACCACCATTTCAATCCTGCACTTCTTGATGTGCAACTTTTCCTTTCTCAGACCGATATTTTCTTATGGGCGATTTTAAAACCAAACATTCAACAGATAAGGGAGGACTAGAAATCGGAAATAATGAAAAGTAATTCTAGAACTGATGGTGACTGATGGTATCACTTTTATTAAATGCTAATAGAAAAGAGCCTGTCACTATCTTGTATATTAAAAATATGAGATGAAATCCTCCAAGAAAATTCTGGCCTATTCCCTTGAAGGCTCTCCCACGGCAGATCGCAAGATGGCCGCACTATCCAGCGCCCCATGGTGATGCCGCCTTGAAGCCTCCCTCGTCATGAAGGATGGAGCCTACTTTCCCAAACCAACTTCTTCTGTCTGGGTTTTGCTTGTGACTAGCTCTGGCCAACAGGAAGTTCCAGTTCCATGCTGAGGCCTCTGTCTTGGGACCCTGCCAGAAGCCCATGTCAATAAGTCAGGCCAGCCAGCTGGTGAAGGAGAGATTGTGAGTCCTGGCTGGGCTCACTCTAGACCAGCCCAACCCAGCATGAGCCAGACTAGATAGAAGTGGTTTGCAGCCCAAACTGGTGACCCGCAGAATCACTAAGTATATAAACAGTGGCTGTTTTAAACCACTAAGCTTGGGGTGGCTTATATATAATCAAAGCTAACTGATTCCCTGCCCTTTCTTCTGTTTTCATGGCACCACAGGCTTCAAAAGCCTTTATCCATTATACTGACCATAAGTGCTTCGGTACGATTTGCCCAACTATGAGCTTCCCCAAAACAGGTATCATCTCACTTATTATTGTATTTAGAGCACTTGGCTTACATGAAACAACACATATTAAAATTCACATCAGAACAACACCATTTGTTCTTAAACTTTTCCAACTTTTGCTCTTATTAAAAAACAGATGGGATAGACGAGTCCAAAATAAATGGAGTAATAGAATGTGGAGAAGGCGTAACACTCTGTTTATTGTGCAATTCCTACAAGCTAAGAGGCACTCCAGTCTATTATGGCACATTGGAAGGATAGGAATATTGCTGAAGATTGTATTCAATTGCAGTAAGTGTAAAAGTTCAGGTTATGCAATGGATGTTGGAAATCCAGGACTAAGACAGGTGTCCCAAACAACATCAGAACACCAGCCCCTTTTCTGTGTTCCTCCTCGGCCACTCTTTGCATCTGCCTGTTTTCCTCACCATGTCAGGAGAGTTTCTGTACCTTCACTTGTTACAGAAGAGGGGAAGAGGGGAAAGAGGACGAGGGAAGAGCAGCCCTCTCTAGAGATTTCCACCGATGTCTCTTTGGCCAGAATTATACATGATGCACAACCCTTGCTGCAAAAGAGGCTGGGAAAATGAGTATCTTTGTTTTCTTACTCTTTCAGGAGTAAACGGAGAGAAGGAAGGAGCTTGGAATCAGGGTTTACTGAGTCAACTGATGATACCTGCCAGAGCTGGTTGAGAGACAGCACAAACCATGTACAACGACTGCACAGATGAATTCAGATCCATGTATTCTAATATTTATTGCTAATCTCCCTTAAACTCCCAATTTGGGGGCAGGGGGGCGTGCGCTACAGTAGGTGGTTGGGGGGCTTACCCATCTGGTATTCTGACACCTAAGAACAAAGTTTTTAGACAGTGTAGGAAGGGAATGGGAAGCAACAGGAGTGGGCATCATTCCCGAGTTTCTTTGGGTTGGCTGGGACCCAGGTTTCTGAACGTGTGATACACTGCCATTTTCCATTTTCAGAAAGACTCCCTTTGCAAGCACATATTAAAATGCACATGCACAGACACACATTATTGCTAGATTTGAAAA